AATTCTCCCTAGGCCAGACCCGCTTGCTGAAAAAGCCATGTCTTGAGGGCGCGGCGAAAAGATAGGAGATCCGGAATCGTCCGGATCTCGGGGGGTAGTTCGTTCCAGAGGGTGGGGGCACCCACAGAGAAGGCCCTCCCCCTGGGGGTCGCCAGCCGACACTGCTTGGCCGACGGCACCCTGAGGAGGCCCGCTCTGTAGGAGCGTACCGGTCTGTGGGAGGGAGTCTGTGGCAGAAGGCGGTCTCGGAGATATCCAGGTGTTGGCACTCACCTTGTGCTTTGATAGGTTGAAGGAGGCCTGGGCAGCATCCTGATCCTGGGCATTCATCCTCTTCAGGTAACAGTTGCTGTGCCCCGACAGCTTATAGCAGACGTAGCCCTGCACAGAGAACCAGGCAAAGCATGAGGTCCATTAATGCCCCCCCCACCCTTGGGTTACACCAGACCAGCTTGGGAGCTGCCTTTCCCACGTGCCAAAGACCCAGCCTGGCCTGGTGAGGTTCACCTGCCTCAGCAAAGAAACAGATCGAGAATAAGAACAGCTTATTTCTGTGTAAGCCATCGGGAGTCACCGAGACTGAGTTGGGCGGCCATATACATTTTCTATATCAATAAATAAATGATCTTCCAGGCAGCCTGACTGGAAACTGAGTTCTGCATCGCTGCCCTTCAAATATGCTGCAGATGTGGGGAGCAGGAAAAGGCTTTGGGGACTCTCACAGGTTCTGGGGTGTGGGGGATCAAGATTAGATCCTGCAACATTATCCTGGGACGTGTAGATTTGCCTTCATTTGTGACATTTTACAACGTTTTTGCCTCAAACTAGCATTTATTTCCAGTTTGCTTAATAAATGTGGCATTTGCTTAACAACTGCCACAAAAAAGGTAGCAAGATTGGGTCAGTCATGTGGTGACACGCTTTACAAGTGTCATAACTTAACGATCACAATGGGCAGGCTCCATTATGATTGTAAGTCGAGGACCATCGGCCTTTTCTGAAATTGGAGAGTTACAGTCCCTCTTGGGAGGAGGAGTCAAGCAGAAAATTGTTGTTGTTGTTAGTGGCGAAGTCGTGTCCGACCCATTGCGACCCCATGGACAACGTTCCTCCAGGCCTTCCTGTCCTCTACCATCTTCTGGAGTCCATTGAAGCTCACACCTCCTGCTTCAGTGACTCCATCCAGCCACCTCCTTCTCTGTCGTCCCCTTCTTCTATTGCCCTCGATCTTTCCCAGCATTAGGCCCTTTTCCAGTGAGTCCTTCCTTCTCATTAGGTGGCCAAAGTACTTGAGTTTCAACTTCAGGATCTGGCCTTCTCAAGAGCAGTCGGGGTTGATCTCCTCTAGGACTGACCGGTTTGATCGCCTTGCAGTCCAGGGGACTCGCAGGAGTCTTCTCCAGTACCAGAGTTCAAAGGCCTCAATTCTTTGTCGCTCAGCCTTTCTTATGGTCCAACTTTCACAGCCATACATTGCAACTGGGAAAACCATGGCCTTGACTATACGCACTTTTGTTGGCAGGGTGATGTCTCTGCTTTTTAGTATGCTGTCTAGATTTGCCATAGCTTTCCTCCCCAGGAGAAAGCGTCTTTTAATTTCTTGGCTGCAGTCCCCATCTGTGGTGATCTTGGAGCCCAGGAAGATAAAATCTGTCACTACCCCCATTTCTTCCCCATCTATTTGCCAGGAATTGAGAGGGCCGGATGCCATGATCTTGGTTTTCTTAATGTTGAGTTTCAAGCCCACTTTTGCACTCTCCTTCTTCACCGGCATCAAGAGGCTCTTTAGTTCCTCTTCACTTTCTGCCATTAGAGTGGTATCATCTGCATATCTTAGGTTGTTGATATTTCTCCCGGCAATCTTAATTTCAATTTTTGATTCATCTAGCCCTGCCTTTCTCATGATGCATATAAGTTAAATAGGCAGGGCGACAGAATACAGCCTTGCCGGACTCCTTTCCCAATTTTGAACCAATCAGTGGTTCCGTGTCCAGTTATCACTGTTGCTTCTTGACCCACATATAGGTTTCTCAGGAGACAAATAAGATGGTCTGGTAGGAAATTAGCTTGGACTTAACTATGTAAATACAAAAGGGCACGGTCTGTTCCTCCTTCCCTCCCCAAAGCCTTTGAGCTTTATCTGGTCTTTCCCAGGCGAAAGCTGCCAGTCTGGGGAGATTCCTGAATTACAGGCAGAAACCAATAAAATAGCGATTTGAAGCTTATGCTTGTGGGTCTGGTTGTTCATGCCTGACACCCTTTCATGCCAGTTGCGCCAACATGTTCTGGCCAGGGCAGCCCAACGTTGCATAACAGGAAAGTCTTTTCCAGTAAATCATTGTCTGTGCACTCTTCCCACCCACGTGCGCCTTACACACTTTCTCCCCTTCTACTGGGAAAGGCAGCCCACTTGCTCACATTCTTGCAGTCGAACAAGATGGCGGTGGTTTGGTTGCTAGAAGACGTGATGTAGTAGGTGATGGTGTTCTTGGCCTTGCTGACCACCACTGACTGGTTCATTAAGGATCCCGGGCGATTCTGGAAGTTTAATCGCATTACCTGCAAAAGAGGCTATAAAAACGCAACACACAGTGAGATGACTTCAGCAAGTTGCATCAGACCCTCCGGCACCCACTTCTTGTAGGTCTCCCATCCCTGCCCCTTCCCAGCTCCTTTTAGGGCAGCGGTGGGCAACTATGGCCCCTTTACAACCTCCAGGCTGCCTCAGGAATTCTGGGAATTGAAGTCCACAGATCATAAAGGGGCCATAGTTGCCCACCCCTGTTTTACCTCAAAGGGGCAAATGTGCCTTGGGACTGGCTTGCTTTTTCCTTTTCCCAAAGTATTGACCCAAAGTGACCACTGAGTCTCGGAGACAGAAACCAGCTTGGTCAGTTGGGTGTGCTTGACTCTTGGTCAACATTAATGTAATTTTGGGGGAGACCTTTGAGTGAGTGCTGCCCCCATTCTAAGGCTGAGGGACTGGCCCAAGGTCACCCAGCTGGCTTCATGTCTACGGCGGGATTCAAACTCACTGGCACCTTAACTACTACACCAAACACTCATTTTAATGTAATAGCAATGATTAAGATATAGAAAATAGTTCTATTTCCTTTTCTAAAAGAAGCAAAGAGTCTGATGGAAATATACCCAGGAATTAATGACTTTGAGATGGTTTCTTAATTATCCTGGCTTTATATTGTTCACATAGCTGATTAGGACTTCCAACAATTTCAACCGTCCATTGCTTAAATTTTTAAACGATGGCATTTTTTTTCATTTTGAGTCAATGAGTCATTGATGGTGATTGTGTTGAGAAATTGTATTGAGAAATTCTGTCCAATACTTCCAAGAGCCACCAGAGTCTTCTAAAATTATTCTTTCTACACAACCATGGATTTTTGTTGTGGAGTTGCTTGATCCATAGTTTTTTTTTTCCTTGGAGCCAAGACTGAAATACACTGATTCTGGAAATTCTTCAAATACAGGCTGCCCATGTTCCTCCCTCTGCCATTTGTATTTGATGCCAATTACACTTAATTAATATGACCATCTAACCCTCTGTAGTGAACTCTGGGTAGTAAATAAAACAAAAATAACAATAATCCAAAGGAACTAAGAACAATTGCAACTGCCAAGATACAATGAGCCAAATAAACCTCTTCCATTTTACGGATGAGTAACAAATAGACAACAGACAGATAGCCACATAACACTCAGGACCAAACATTTAAGGAAATCACCAGGTTGTATGGCTTTCAGACAGGCCAAAAGGCTTGGTGCCCTCCACATCTCAGGGCAGGACAGGCACCCCTGCCGAGAAGGCATGTCTCCTGGGTGCCACAAGAAGTTACTTCTTAATGGAAGCGACCTGGAAATGTCCACCATGTTGGATCTAGGGGGACAGAGGGGATGGAGACAACCAGAGGCAGGCAGGCAAATAACCACATAGGGATGTATAAATGATAACTAGCACCTTGAATTGCATCCAGGGATACACGGAGCCAGGATAGTGTTATGGATTTATAGTGTTACTTATGACCATCTCAAACTGTCAGCTCTGCTCCATTCTCGACCAGTTGAGGTGTAGGAAATGACCAAGCAGAACCTTAGGGAGGGGTCAAATGCGTCATCAGTCTCAAGTCCCTTCACGCCCACAAAAGATCCAGACGACCTTGAATTCCGTTGACTCTTATCTACCATCAATTTGCTTTGACTGTTAGTACTTCAAATTCTTGAAGAGACCTTAAGTTGGCAATTTTGTTTCTTTTAACAACCCTGTAATCCCTTGCATCAGGGTGGAGTCAGGATGACTGAATGGACCTGAGTGTCCTGAATGGACCTAATGCCCTTCCCGACGCCTATGGGGAGTTTGCAGTAGATATTTTCTCTTTGTGCCCAGACAGAAAAATATCTACTGGTGCTTAGGATTGAACTCATGATTGCAAGGAAAAAGCCCCACCTCTAGGCCACCATGTCACTCAGAGTGCTTAAGCTCACAATAAGCATATATATGCATTTGAACTGCCTGGACTCCTAATTTCCCGCGCTTGATATTAAGCTTCCAAGCGTTCATCAAAAGCAATCTTGAAATGAGCGTTGACTAAGCTGAATGACCATGAGGAGAGCTTCTCAATCCAGAAAAGGCAGCAACTGGTACACAAGACGAATTTGTGCAACACCCCCCTCGTCAGAGCTGCCATCCACTCCTGAGGCAAGAGCAGTGAGCCCAAGAAGGCTCCCAGATTGTATTTTTGGGAAATAGTGCTCCTTTCAGAGTTAAAGATGGAGATCTGGGAGATCTAAAAACTCACAGCCACTCAAATCTCGTTGGAAATATCAGAAGGAGTCCAGTAGCCCCTTTCCCCGTTAAACACAATTTATTAAAGGGCGGAAGCCTGGTGAGAGGCAGCTCACCCCAATTTAAATCAGCGAAGCCGCTCCATGTGCCTGATGAAGTGAGCTGCAGTTTCTGAGAGTATATTTAACCCTTATTTTATACCTGCAAAAGGTGCTTCCAGACTTTTTACCCCCATAGACCAAGAGAGCTGTCCTCCTCTCAGACTTGTAAAGGTTGAGTCAAAGCCTGCTCTTCCCCATTCAGACCCCCACAACCATGGATGGAAACTAATCAAGGAGAGAAGCAACCTAGGAGAAATTTCCTAACAGTGGGAACAATTAACCAGTGGAACAGCTTGCCTTCAGAAGTTGTGGGTGCTCCATCACTGGAGGCTTTTAAAGAAGGGACTGGACAGCCACCTGTCTGAAATGATATAGGGATCTCCAAGGTCCCTTCCAATTCTAATGTTCTATGAAAGAACCTGGTAGCGTCACTTGGTTGACCCTTAGCAGAGAGGTAGAATTAGTATAATCAACATTATTGATCACACCTTACTCTGTATTAGCAGATGGCCTTACCCAGTAGCTTCATATAGATGTTAAATAGAAGCAGGGAGAGAGGAGAACCCCAAAGCAGCCTGAAGGGCATGGTGGCGCAGTGGTTAGAATGCAGTACTGCAGGCTATTTCTGCTGACTGCCAGCTGTCAGCAGCTTGGCAGTTCAATTCTCATCAGCTCAAGGTTGACTCAACCTTCCACCCTTCCGAGGTCGGTAAAATGAGGACCCAGATTGTTGGGGGCAATAGGCTGACCCTGTAAACCGCTTAGAGAGGGCTGTAAAAGCACTGTGAAGCAGTATATAAACCTAAGTGTTATTGCTATTGCTAAGAGCAGGGGGCTAGGGCTAGACCTACTACCAGACCATCCCACCAGCTGGAATTGGCCTTGGAGAAAGGAGAACAACCGCCAGAACATGGTCAAATCAGATCTTTATTATTATAGACCAGCATAAGGCGGGTGGGGAACAGTCAATTAAAGAGCATCAGAATTTAAAAAAAAAAGAATTCTAGGAGAAGCTAGAAAATATATTAAAACAGAAACTGTATATTAAAAAACGAGTCTAAAAGAGTAGGAGCATTAGATGGGTGAGGGGAGCATAAAGGTTAATATGTGGAAGATTATATTAAATTACAGAGCACTCTAGTGTGGCAAACTAAGTCTAATTTATGGCATGGGTCATCCAACACATTTTAAGCACTGCTGCACACAAGCTGGCAACACTATATGCCAGTGATGGCGAACCTTTTAGAGACCGAGTGCCCAAAAACTGCCCCCCCACCCCCGTACTCGCTCCGCCCTGCCCACTGGACCACCCACCACCTCCATGGCCCACCACAGATCACCCAGGCTGGGGACACGGTCCATGTGCCCACAGAGAGGGCTCCAAGTGCCACCTCTGGCACCCGTGCCATAGGTTCGCCACCACTGCTATATGCCACGGCAGGATTGCTATGTGAAAGCAGGGGGTGTAGAATTGTCCTTTGTGCCCAGGTATTTATGCAATGATGAGACTAGTGTGAATGGCTGTATGGTAAAGGCACATCCTCAGTTGTTTCTGTGTGTCCAGAGTCACAGGGCCTCGACTCTCTGGGTAAGGAATCTTCCACAGTTGAGGGAGGGCAGAGTACTTTAAATACCAGAATTCTGCAAAGGGTTCATTGGCAAAACCATAACTCATGCTTCCAACTCCTGGTCCCAATCCTCTAAACCAGAGGTCCCCAACCTTTCTCGGTTGGCGGACCAGAGGGAAAGGGAAGGGGAAGCATTTTATGTGCACACGTGCGACGCAAATGGGGCGGTGCTAGTGCCCATGTGACACTCGCTAGCCCTGCCCCATTTTCACCACGTGGGCGCTAGCGCTGCCCTGTTATCACCGCACAGAGCCCTGTTTAGGCCGTGCGGAGCCCCGTTTAGGCCACATGGAGTCTCATTTAGGTTGCGCAGAGCCCTGTTTAGGCCGTGCGACCGTGGCGCTAGCACAAGTGGGGATCAGTGCGCGTGCTGGGCAGTCTGTCTTGCGGCCCGGTGGCCACGGCCTGGTAGTGGGCCGTGGCCCACAGGTTGGGGACCCCTATCCTAAGCCAGTGTTTTCCAACCTTGGTCACTTGAAGATATATGAAGTCCACACATGTTCAAGTTGGGAAACACTGTCCTAAGCTGATCCAGAAGGATACAATAATCAGTTCCATCAAATCCCTTTATTAAATCAAGGGCAGGGCAATGTAGAAGCACCATCTCCATCCATGTCCCATTAAATCTGATTGAGTGCAATCAAGGCCATTTCAGTGCTGTGAACTATTGTGAGCCTGACTGGGAAGGATGCAGATAATCAGTTTCTTCCAGGGTCCTCCAGAGCTAAAGCTAATCACTCTTCTTAACAACTCTCCCAAAGAGGAAGAAAACTGGAGACCACATGAAAATTGTCCAGTTCTGGGCTATCCAGCAATGACTCTTTGAGTCACCTTTTTCAGAGCAGGTAGAACCATCCCCTCCGTGAAGGAAGCATTAAGCACCACATGGCCAACCTCATGTCACAACCAAGAAGCCCTGACCAACCAGGAGAGTCAAAAGTTTTAAAACACAGATGATTGAATTCGCAGCTCCAAGGACCTTATTTGCTTCACCAGGACCAACAGGCTCAAAATCCTCCCAGATAATCATGCTAGGTCACGCCTCGTGTATCTCCATAGGATCTGCACAGTTAAAATCCAACTTCGAATGATTCTGAAGAACTCAATCCAGATGCCAGGAACAGTCCTTATATAGAGGCTCTGTGTCAGGACTGCCATCCTGCTACGTCATACTTCGCCTGCTGCCAGCTTGCCATACTCAGCGGGGGAGGAGGGGGCTTACTGAAGGAGGGAATAAGGGGGATTAGCATGAGAGGAATCAAAACTACACATTGTGTTGTCCCGCAGGAGACACCAGCCATTCCAAGGTCACACTATGTATGGAATGCAGAATCATCCCATGAAGCCAGGGACTGTTACCCAAACAATTTGTTAGAAGTTAATTGGACACTTAAAGGTAACCAGGGGAGAAGATGGAAACATGGGAAAATAACTCTGATGATGTTACCTAATTTGGGTAATGAAACGTCTGTAAGAAAACAAGCAAGCTCAGAGAGCACTCAGGACTCTTCAACAAGGGAAAAGTTAATCCTGTACTTTGGGTGCAAAAAGCCCAGAACTGGCTTTGCTTCTTCTGTGATAGAAATAAGTGAATGGTCTTCAAAATTTAATATTGAAAGAGAAATTTAAATTTGAATTTGCTGCAGTGGAAACTTACTGAGTAGAGAAACAAGCTTATAATAGATGGGAACTAGGAAAAGATAACATAAAGGAAGGATGTAAGAGAAACAGGTAGGGAAAATTGTTATCTGGGTCTTCAGAATGGGAAAAGGAGCTGTAAGAGAAGATAACTACCAAACAGGAAAGAACCTATTTTTCTAAGAAGTCATAAAAAAGGGGGCCAGAACTCAGACAACTGAGCATGTGCAATTAGTTGATTAATATTAACTGACACACCTTGCATAAATTATCTCCTAATTTTAATGTACATGTGATGTATGATTTAGCATGTAGCAGGAAATATGTAGGAGTCGTAAAGAGTGTAACCTCATAGTACAGTGATGGCGAACCTTTTAGAGACCGAGTGCCCAAACTGCAACCCCAAACCCACTTATTTAGTGCAAAGTGCCAGGGCTGCATCAGCATTGTGGTGCCCTGGGGGAGGGCAGGGAGGCGCCTCTGAGTGCTGCCTCTGGCATGCTAAAACTGGGGCACAAAAATGGGCCACCGTGCTGCAAGGCGCAAAAACGGCTGCCGCCGTGCCGCAAGGTGCAGATACAAGGCACTGCACCATGCAAGAACGGGGCAGGGCTAGTGAGTATCATGCAGGCACTAGCCCCGCCCCAGTTGCAGCGCGTAAAATGCTTCCCCCTCCCTTTTCTTCCAGTCCACCAATCAACAATGGTTGGTGACCTCTGCTCTACCACTTCTACTCAAGCTTGCTAGTCGGCCGCTTCGCCTCCTTTGTGCTGGGTGGGGCTCCTGCTCTGGGCAGCGGTGGCGGCCTGATGGACCTGCTGCTGGCGGCGGTGGTGCGCGTGCCAACAGAGAGGGCTCTGAGTGCCGCCTCTGGCACGCGTGCCATGGGTTTGCCACCATTGTCATAGTACCTCAGCCAATGGGGAAAGAGGAAGGATGTGGCGGCCGGGACAGGGTTGTATAAAGAAGGGAATATTTGGGGTTGGAACTTTGGAGAGAACCGAGCTTTGATAGCTTCTCTTCCCGCTTATTGTAATAAACGAAACAAAAGGCCTTCACTGGATCTTGGCTGGTTATTGGCCAGGCGAGCTGGCCTCTGGTCACGAAGGAAAGTAGCCAGGAGCACAAAACATTCTGTAACCACTTGGCTTTACTTTTTGTTACTTTCATCAATAATGGATTCGAGAGTCTTTCTTTTCTAACTGACTGAGTTGGGATGGCTGACACTCTGCAAATGTTGCTCCTTTCTTATCCAGAAGGAACTGAGTCATATTAAGCAGACGATTGACCAGTTTTCAGATGTGATACGGGCAGAAAAATAGCTAAATTTTTCCATCCTTATTAGCACAAGATAGTCTTTAAGAAAGGCTCTTGCCAGGCTCAAATGGGGTCAGAATTTGCTTTACTGCAGGAGTGCTCTAGGCATCTCTTCTGCTGACTCAATCGGTTCTTCTGGACGGTGCAATTTGGTCAAGAACGGTTCTCATTCCAAGCGGTGATCAAGACCTTGGATCAACTGTACCAGGAACAACCCATGTTCCTTTCAAAACCCAGTAGGGTCCATCTTGTGCCGGGGGTTGGGGGGCGGGGAGGAAGAACTCTACAAATGGGTCCCAGCTTCCTGCAGGAGGGTGCAGCCAAGGGAACTCCAAGGCCAACAAAAGGGCTCTGCCTGTGGTTGGAGACCGATGGCAGCATCACCCAGTTGCAGACCACGTCACTGCCTAAGTGCCAAATCTGAAAGGTGATCGTCTCCCCCACCTCCCGGGAGGGTTGGACTTGACAGCCTCAAAGGCCCCTTCAATTCTAGGATTCTGTTGTCTTCTATATTCTATATTCTTCTATGAATGTAGATATACCCCTAGTATCATCAATACAAATTGGTAGAAAATAATAGTTTTATATATACAAATGTGGCAATCTGTGGAAGACAATAGGAGGAAAGAGCCAGTTTGGTGTAGTAGTGAAGGTGCTGGTCTAGAAGCCATGCGGTGGTGAGTTCTAATCCTGCCTTAGTTATGAAGGCCAGCTGGATGTGGCTTTGGACCGATCATTCATTCTCAGCCCCACCCATCTCACAGGGTTATTATGGGGAAAATAGGAGTAGGAAGACATACTAAGTATTTTTGCGGCCTTGAGTTATTTATAAAAAAATATAAAGACAAAAAAAAAGATAAAAGAATTTTTTTTTTAAAAAAAAAAGGTTTTCTTCTTCTTCCAGCTAGGTTTGTAAACAACAGAAACAATTCTATCCATTTTACCATTATTCAAACTGAATATGGTGGGAGTGACTTCAGTGCAAGGCAGAAGCCTTATCTTGTTCAGAAGGAGAGAAAGTTTTTAGTTACCCTTACAAAAAATTGAGAATGGTGACTAACAGCACTCTGGCATAAAGCCATGTCTTACCTTGGGCGAAGCCTGGGTGAAACTGACAGTCGCTGCCACCGTGATGCAGATAATTCCACAGGCCAACGTAATGGAGAGGATGGCCCCAAATACTCTGGTGGGGCTGTGGGATTCTGCTGGAGGGGGCCTTTCCTAAACGGAGAAAAGGGAAACCAGCTCTCAAAAGTGCCTGGATTCCATGGTTGTTTTCATGGATAACCGTCACGTGTAGCAACATTCTTTTGGGACGGGGGCAAAGGGATTAAGCACTAAAGATATCGGACACTTGCTTTTGAGCTATGTGAAAAGCACAGCAATGGAAGAGTTTAACTCCTCCGTTCATGTTGTCAGAATTATGCAGGACAATTTAGACTAATCTTTAGCTCCATTGCTTGATGATTAAGTTTCCAAAAGCTATAGATATTTCCAAAAGTTAAAGAAATTTGTCCCAACTGTTTTGGCTACAGCATGTAAGTACCGTAATCTATAAATTGTACAGTCTTCCTGTATTCCTAGAAAGTGAAGCACCCAATTGACTTATTTTGGTTATCAAATTGTTTTGCCAATCTATCTATCTATCTATCTATCTATCTATCTATCTATCTATCTATCTATCTATCTATCTATCTATCTATCTATCTATCTAGTTTTTCAAAATTTGGATTGCTAACAAAGAATTAAGGGAGTACTGGGATAGCTATTTCAGACCTTATTAGGTTTTCATCAGCCAGACATACCCTTGCTGATATGTATATATAAATGTATACACACACATACAAAGAATGTATAATACTTACAGCAAAGAAGAAACTTAATTACCTGAGTGATCTTTTCCAATAATGGATAAATGTGGGATTTGCTCTCAGAATAGAGCCCTCATCTTATGGCACCTACAACACAAAGCCCTACCTTCAGCCTCTCCAAATGGGTCCCTTCCAGATGTGAAGGATCATCCAGACCAAGACATCTGGTGGTGGATGACCTGAGTGGATTAATTGCTTATGGGACATTGTGGCAGGTGCCTCCAAGATGGTTCTCTACCTTGGGGAAAGGAGACTCAAGCAGCTGCTGAGTTTTCAACCTATGGAACGGGGCTGGACCCAGGAGTTATGGAGGGGCTTCGCTTAAGCAGCATCCTTTCCCTCCCCCGGAGCAACATAAGAGCCAGTCCCTGGATGAAGCCCAGGGGATCCAGTAGCTCTAAACCATTTTGGTGCACAAAAGCACCCACTACCGTTAAGATGGGACCCTCATTTGCCGACAGAATCAGGCCTGTGAACAAACCTAGTGGGGAGGGAAGGATACTTACTGGAGAGAGGGCGGTATGAGCCACGGCCTGCTCCTCCATCCCGGATCTCCCTTTCCTTGGACTGAGGCTTTGCAATTCCACAGATCCCAGCTGGAAACTCAAGAATGTGCCCAGGAGAGCCAGGTGAGCGGTGCCCCTGGATTCCCAGCCTGGGCAGAGGCATGTGGAGGTGAAACTAGACTACCTGGAAGGTGGAGGGAAGGGGAGCTGCAGAGAGATGCTGGCCGGGCCCCAGTGATGCTTGCCCTGCCCTGCCCGGAGAGACAGCCAAGGCATTCACGGGAGCACAATCGAGGGCTTTGTGTCAGGGACCTTGCACGCTGGCAGACGTTCCAGGGCTCCACAACCCTTTCTTGTAGGAAGGAACCTGGCTGGGGGAGAGCAGCTGCCTGCCCCCCAGGCCGAGAGAGCAAAGGTTGGGGGGGGATGAATGCCCTGCTTGCCCACCAGCTCCACCGCCTCTTCTGATCTTCATCTTCCACTGGAGAGATGCTCTTTGCTCCCATCACTTTCGCTTGCTTGTTTGTTTCCATGCACAAGGAAAGGAGGTGTCCAGTTCTGGAACTTCAGGGACAAGAACCCATCAGATAAGGAAATAGTTTTCTCCCAGAACTTCATTTTGGTAGAGCCCATTTGCACGGGGCGTTTGAAGATTTGTTTCAAATGGCTTGTGTGCACGATCAACCTGCCCTGTTTTGCTTAGCTTACGGTTTAGTTTTTGTGAAAACTCAGAAATCGGGTGAATTCATTGACCAAACTGAGAAAGTTGTGTGGATGCAATCAATACACCACAAAAACATGTTTGTTGTGAAATAGTTGCCTCCTTCAGTTTCCCCTATCTTTCCTCTTCCTCTACCTCCCCCCTCCTCCTATCTCTTTCAAGATTGCAAGACCCTTGTGGGAGGAACCTTCTACATTTCCTGATTTGAGAAACAGAGAACAGCTGCCTCTTTGAGTGTGCAAATTTCCTTTGCAAATGTGAAAAGGCTCCTGGATTCCTGGTTCGTCGATGGCACAAAATGCAACTGTCCTGACAGCAACGTGGAAGGGGCTTGCCTTGTTCAGAGATTATTTTGATTTTCCAATCTAGCTCACAACTTTGCCGTTTGGCCTGAGCCTACTTATAGGTTTTTAAAATTGGCCCCAGGTCAGCTCCAGGTGCCCAAACTCTTCTTGGCTGGAGTTGAAAAAGGAGGGATGCAAACTCAAATCTCACCGTATCCCCATTGCACAGAAAGCTCTCCATTCTGTACACATACTAAGTAAACCCTCAGCAGGACCTGCTCAGCTCTCCACATTCCTTGGTGCTCTACTAGAGGATTCAAGAGTTCCCAGGGCAGGCTGCTCTGAGATCTGAGCCACGCGGGCCTGTCATCCTTTGTCAACCTTCTGTGGCACACCTGCCCTCTTCTCTTGCCAAGCAATCATACCTGGCAAGGGATCAGACCAGCCTTCCTCCTCCTTCTGAGACCCACTGATAACAAGAGGTGGGGCGGAGGAGAGGAATGCTTTTATACCAAGCCTGCTCATTCTCCACCTTCAGACAGGAGTATTTTTGCACACCACAGCTCAAGGTTAAAACTGGGCACAATTCCCTCAGTCTATAGCCCTCCAGTCCTAACTCTGTTGTGCTGAAGAGCTGAGCTCTGCGGTCTCTCTAGTTCAGTGGTTCTCAACCTGTGGGTCGGGACCCCATTTGGGGTCGATCGACCATTTCACGGGGGTCGCCAAGCAAGGCTGTCCGCCATTTTTTTTGTCTGCCATTTTTTTCCCCTTTTCCGGCGGGTGCCTTACCTCCCTTGGGCTGGGCCAGCTGGTGGTCGGCCTGCTCCGTCTCTGCCGCTTGCCAGCTACGCC